TAAAAAAAAAAAAAAAAAAAAAAGAGTAATTATGAATCGTTAAACTTGAATTTCTATGTTGAATAATTGGAGTTTATTACTTTAAAAACGCTATCGATCCAATCGTGTCGAGAGTTCATAGAACACAATATAAAGTGCTTAACTAGTAAGCTGTTGCCTTCACTTACCACGTGCACCTAATTAAATCTTTTATGCAATGTTGATACTTTCGTCAAACGTGAATGTCCCTTCATTGCACGAGGAACATTTTGATTAAAAAATTCCGACTGTTTAATTGGGCCACCACACTAATTATGACCAATGCAAAACAGTAGAAACCGACTTTATTAAGTAATTAGTTAACAATTACTCTTATGTAAATAGACGACCGATTAAAATAGGCAAGTTCGATCATTACAAACAAAAAATCAGATATGTAAATTTTTACGGATTAAAAAAAAGAAATGCGGGCACCCGTTGAACTACGTCACGCACAAATAAGTACTGTAAGTTATATTTAACTATTAAAATAGATAGTTTTCTTAGGAACTATACAACGTTATTGCAAATAATGCAAATCCTCCGAGACATTTTTAAAAATTCAGCGAAATTGTGTGTTCACGTACACGTTCACTATTTATCATTTTTTATACAGTGATTTCTCAGAAAACAACTTGGCTGTTCCATACTATGCATATTTTCTATGAATATATTCTCAATTAGTAACGTAAAGTTGAAAAATTAAAGTTTTTTTTTTCGATTTATTAACTAACACACTTGGTATGAATTTAATTATCTCGACCGCGTCTGTTATGTGTTTGGCGACGAAGGTCTGTGTTGTCAATGCGAGTACGTGCATTTGATATATTTTTTACGCATAAGTGTGTGTACATTACCTCTACACCGTCACTGCACACAGAAAACCGAATCGAACGCCGCCGTATTAGCGCAAACGATTTTTACTGTGGGAACGACCACCGGGTGGTGGTGTCCGTCATCATCCTGCACTTATCCGGGAATCGCTTTTGTCTTTTTTAAAAGATTTCTCAAAGGGAAATACAGAGGAATGTTGGAAGATGAAAAAAATCAATTTACACGGTTTTTAACAAAAAGAAAATGAGATACCTCGTAATCGTTTATTGGATATATACACTCAACAATATTTTTAAAACGTTTACAATGATAATTCAATTATTAAATTACAACTAAAGAGAATATAACTTCTACTATCTAATTATTTTTAATAATAGATACACATATAATTTCATAGATAGATTTTCATATAAACATATTTCAATAATTTTACTATAACTCGACGACTAACATCCGTCCATAAGTAATCGTAATAATAAATATTAACTAGTCTGCAGTCTATAGTCTATGGCTACAAATAAGACAACTCAAAAACGAATTAAAGATAATGTATTAAAAGAAAACTGTAATAAATAACATTTTGTACCATAATGATATATATACAATAGTCGCTTCTGACGTGACTAATAAGCTATAAGTTATACGTCTAAACTGTTTTTTACTGTTTTTTTTAAATATTGCAACTTGCCCGGCACATAGTACAGTAGATATGTTCCGACTATACTAGTTATAAACAATATTTATACAACAGAACTTAAATAAAAAATAGGAATTTGTTATATTAATAAATAATATATATATATATATATAAATACATTTTAGCAACTAAACGGTTTTACGTTCGTATAATTTCCCTAACTAGGTAGTTCTACTCGTGTTCTTCCATTTTCCATAAAACTTTGTCTAAAAAGAAAAAAAAAATTAATAATAATAAAAATCAAATAATTTTAATTATAGCAGTAATGAAATTAATTTGAAACAAAAATAAAAAATATTTGGATTATTATTGAGCTATTCGTCGTTATGAAGGTCTCTTAAAATTTTATTCGGTTTCAATCCTACTCCAGCATACAAAATACATTCTTTTCACTTGCCTTTCTTGTTCATTAATAGTTAAAGTACGTTTAATATGTAAAAAATATATATACAAAAAATTTAAATACTTACTTATATAACGCACTGGCTTTAACTGATAATCCCGCAGCTACTTTTTCTATGTTCTTGGTCATGTTTTCCATTTTGCGTATCGTATGCAATGGAATGGCTCCAGGCATACCATTTGGATGTGGTGATAAATTTGATGGTTGGGACAAAGGTTGTGGTGGCATTGTAGTTCGCTGTTGACCTGCCGCTACAGCAGCAGCTGCGGCCGCTGCAAACTGCACCAATTGTTGCTGGTGTTGTCGGAATAGTAGTACTGACGGATTAGGTATATGCCGAACTCCTTGATTGGGAGGACCATGCTTTGGTTTCGACGACTCGTTTATACGAGTAACAGAATTTTTGGCAACAGCCATTAGATTTTTATTACTGGAGTGTTGCGATTTAAATGATGGCATAGGTGGAACTGGTATTCTAAGTGGAAGATTCGTTCCGTTTGACGATGCAGACCATTTGGGTGACGATGACCCATTTTGGTTTTGAGAAAAACGTTTCTTAAGACTATTTTCTTGGCCCGTTGGTGACATCATGCTTCGGATATGAGCGGCTGTATCAGACAAAGTCAATAAATTACGCATACTTCCCGGATGATCGTACTGACCATTGAAATGGGCAGGTGACATATTTCCGTTATGAATAGCATAGGGTAAGTTATCTTTTCGAGTCGATTTTCCTGATAGATCTAAAGCGTCACTTTGTTGTTGCGTTGTACCATTTTCCAATGATATGGTCACACTACTTTTTAAGTCTTCTTGTTTCATTGTGTTGTTATTGTTATTAGCACCGCTTGGGCTTCGGTTTTGAGGTATTATGGTTATAGAAGGTTTGGCTGATTTGATCGGAATAACTGCAGGAACAGGTTTCTTAGTCTTTGGTTTCGTCTCCGATTGTAGAGGATTTTCTAGTTTTGAATTATGATGAGTAATAGAGTTTGGAACTTTAGATACAGGAACTTCAGCTGTAGGAGAAGAGGGTGGACCATTGACTCGTACAATCTCAAGTGAAGGTCGTTTGCTTTCCATATCATGGCCTCCTGACAACATCAGAGTTTTGTCCTTTTCCATCTTCATTTTTTCTTCTGCAGTGATGATGCTGACCGTAATGGAGGATGGAGGCATTATCAACATTTTTGGTGACATTTCTCTAGAGCTTGATATTTCCTTGGTTTTAATCACTTGTTGATGGAGTTGGTCATTTTGCGGTTTAACAGCAGATTTTTGTTTGCTACTACGTAATTGTAGTACCGCTTCTTTTTGGTCGATAGATGTTGTTTTTGGTGGTTCGTCAGCTGTTTTGGGAGAACGATGGTTCGAAGAATGTAAAGATGTCTTGGTACCAGAAGCTGATTTTTCAACCTTCTTTTCTTGAATTTCTTTGGGTTTTACTTCATTTGTTTTTAGAACTTTGTTTTCATCAGTAAATTTCTTTGGTGGATCTTTCAGCATAATAATACTATCACTTGATAATTCGGATACTTGTGAATCGTCTTCTTTGAATGAAGAACGGGCTGGAGAAGAAACTATAGAAGAGTTAGGCGAAGCTGTACCATTATGATGTTTGCTATGTCTATGGTGTTTTTCTTCCTTATGACGATATCCTGGAAGAGTGTTCAATTTTACTTTTAGCTTCATAATGTCGCGATCTGGTGAGTGTACAATGGTCGCTGAAGGTGGAGGTGACTCTGGCGGCGATCTTCGTTTGTGATGGTGATGATGTTTACCCTTTTTGCTTTTCTTTTTATTCCTACTACCTTCATGTCTAGAATGTTTATCCTTTTTTTGGCGCTTTTCTTCTTCAACGTCTTCAATAACAAACATTTGACTAGCGGTTTCGATTAATTCTTCTTCTTCAGAATTATTCGATGATATTCTAAGACGACCAGTATCTTCGTCTTCTTCATCGTCTTCGATGATTTCCTCGATATCCTGCTCGTACTTTGAGTAATCTTCATCAGATTCTTGAAAGTCTTTTTCGTCCTCTATGAACTTTTCAATATTGTTATTATTTTTAGCACTTAAAAACAGACTGTCAAATAAACTCTTCTTGGACACTGGACCCTCGTCATAAAATTCACGAGCTCTTCGTTTTCTTTTGGTAATAGGAGATTTTTGATCACACTCATTCAGTCGTTCAATCAGTGGTTTAGAGTCTAAGCTAGCATTTGATGTTTCGTCACATTCAGAAACACTTTTAGAAGACATAAAAGGTAGTGATGAAGCTACGCTGTTTACATCTTCTTCGATATCAACATCTTCAACGGTCTCTTCTTCTTCGACGATGGGAATAGCTATTGTTGACTTTTCGAGAATTTTGAAACATAGTTCCATTGGCGATGTCTATGAACAAATAAATAATTTTATAAAAATAAACATTCGAAAGGAAAAACCGAAACAAGACTTTAAAACCTATTTTTTTTTCAATAATTCAAAAAAAAATACTTTTAATTAATTACCTGTTTCCATTCGAAACAGTATGCAACATCTATCAGAGTCAATTCGTCTGGTAAACTTTCATTTGAATGAAAAATATCAACCTGTAACACAAAATCAACGAATGTTGGAATGAAATCACTATTTGTATACTGGATAATTTTTAAAATTTTAGAATAATTAACAGAAAATTAATGAAACTACTCCGAGAGTAAAATAGTTAACTTACCTCGTGTTGATCTGTCAAATAGTACTTGATAACAATGAACTTTTTTAAATGTTCTACCGTAACAGCAGCGGGGCAATTGAGATACTTTCTATGTGCAGCCTATAAAAATAAAAACAATACTTTTTAGTGTTTACATTGATAAACTTCAATTTTAATTAAATAGTTAAGAATTGAAGTTTTTATGTATTCGGATACATAGAATGTGCATCTTCATATTTTACAGAGTGTTTCTTAAATATTTTTAAATAAGAGAAATCGAGTGGCTAGCGATAATAAGAACATTGTGTAGATATCGAACGAAATGCATGTAATAAATCACAGCCATTTAATAAATGTGCATAGTTGATTTAAAAGTAGTAAGAAGTATATTCAAATAAAATTTATAACATGAAATGTATTTACCTTTATGGCCTCAGAGGCAGATGTCTTGTTTTGTTCTTGTACTTTATCATTATCATTCGCTTGGGTACTGTAAAAAAAAAAAAAAAAAAAACAAAATGAAAATATATTCGCCTTTTTAGATTTTAAACATCGAGTGAGGGAGAGACTTGTAATTTGTACGTTACAAACGACCGGACACAGGTCTCTAGAGACAAATGGTATTGTGGTGGCGAAGTGGGGCGGTCGAAATAGTTACGGAGTATATGTACACCACATTTGACTTATCAATATAACGAAATCCATTGTATAAACGACTTACGATCAGGGTAGAGGGTTTCGGTCGACTACCCGTGACCATCGCTTGTATTTTTTATCGCCCTTGTCATTCTTTTTTTACGGACTGTCGGATTTCTCATGAAAAAAAGAGGAAATAGATGTATACGTCAAGCTTTTTTCCCTTCGAGCGAAATAGTAGTGTACGATTCAAGAAACATATGTTGGTAACGAGGCGTGACGACGTACAAGTCACAAAGATTGATTGAAAAACCAGTTTACAATGAAATATTCAATGTACTTAATGTAATTTAAAAGTTATTAATAGAAAAATATAACTATATTTCAAGATATTTTCACTAGTTGAATTTAATACATACAGCTGACAAAAACATCACGTTATAATATACATATGTTTTAACGTGTAGTATAATTAGGGAATATACCGACACAAGTTGTCGTAATGGTAAGTAAATCCTTCTATTGAACGTACAGACGGAACGGTTGAATTACAGAAATCGAAACGATGTATAAAGAGATCATCTCCGCGGAATCGTTATCGCAGTTCGGAGAGCGACGAACTCTAATACAACCGGAACGTTGCGAGGGGACAAATCTGAATGGCATTACTTAAAGCAACGCGACTTCAATTATATACTTGAAAAAATGTAGAAGAATACAGAAAGAAAAAATAAAACAAAGAATCACGGACGTTGATAAAAAAACCACGATGAATTATAACGCAACAAAAATATGTAAAATGCATATGCTTGTCTGGTTCAATATGTTTTCTGAAAAATAATATATACGCCGCCCCGGGCTCACATAAATTGTACCGGACGACGACCAGAAGAGATTGGGGTGACGGCTAATGCGTTCGAATTTATTACCAAAACTCCCCCGAGATAGTAAAGGGTGAGCACTCAACTGCCTATGTTAATACAGACATATAGCCGTAGATATTAGGTAAATATATAAATATGTTTGTATTTATTTGTGTAAGTGCTATGTAAACAAAAGCAGTTGTTTGTAATGTGAAGTACGCTAACCGAAAATAATTACTACAAAATAAATTAGAAAGACAAACAGGTATACATTAAATTATTGCGTTACAACTTTTATCAACAAATTCAATATGAACTTTTAGAGACTTGAACCTGTCAACAACCCCTAAGATTAATTGCGTGGCACAAATTTTTCAGTAAAGTCACGATGTTATGCTGTCCAGAAAACTCGACAATCAATCTTGGAGAAAAAAACAATATCAACAAGTCCTTCGGTGTTGGCCGTCAGTCAAAATCGAAATCTTTATTAAAGTTACTGAAAAGCAGCCAATAACGATTTGTGAATATTTTTCAACTCCTTAAAACTTACACATGAAATACTATAAACGTCCGAGTAATATTACAAAAGGCTGTTATCGACCTGACCTGGAAGTTATAGGACTCGATAGCGAGAAAAGGTAAATTCAGCTACTACTTTTTCGAAGTATCGGGGAGTTTGACCTTCATTGTATTACAATAACTCTAATAATATAAAATTTAATAGAGACTACTGGATTTATGATAACACAGAGACTGCACGCGTCACCATACGACCCTCAAAACAGCAAGAGAAACGCTTGTTGTTGTTGTTATTACTGTGGTGGTGACGTACCAAAGGCCGATTTACTTTCATGGCACGCTCCACTCGTTTGACAGTAGAAACGGGCGGTTTATTTAGGATTTTTTTGGCGACTTCCCTAAGTGTATTTGTGGTTGCCATAGAACAGAATACAATAATGAAAAACTTGGTGTTTATATTATTGTACACTCCCTACAATAAAACTAAAGCTCTACCGCAAAGTAAAAGACCTCAAATAACTCAAAAAAAAAACTCAACTTTGGATTAATTTAGTTTNCACGCGTCACCATACGACCCTCAAAACAGCAAGAGAAACGCTTGTTGTTGTTGTTATTACTGTGGTGGTGACGTACCAAAGGCGACCGTGCCGATTTACTTTCATGGCACGCTCCACTCGTTTGACAGTGGAAACGGGCGGTTTATTTAGGATTTTTTTGGCGACTTCCCTAAGTGTATTTGTGGTTACCATAGAACGGAATACAATAATGAAAAACTCGGTGTTTATAATATTGTACACTCCCTACAATAAAACTAAAGCTCTACCGCAAAGTAAAAGACCTCAAATAACTCAAAAAAAAAACTCAATTTTGAATTAATTTAGTTTATTCGTTTCCCTTTTTCTACATTTAAAAAATTAAAACAAGCCATTATAAGTGTAGAGACAACGATGAGAAAAAATCATTAAGTCATCGCTTTGATACATGACAGATTTACACCATATCTAAAACAGTTCATAAAATCATAACAAAAGCCAATTGAAAAAAACATTCCAATATTAAAATTTATGTATTTAATTAATTTAAGAATATTACAAGTGTTTTTTTTTTTTATATAGTAATAACTTTATATACTGTAGACCACTTATCAAATTTAACAGTAGCAAAAAATTACTTTTTAATCTTATTTTTAGGTGTGCATACAAACAATTAAATCGTTGCGTAGTGCACACGACAATATTGAAAGCGATTGCGCGAATAATTATATTAGTTGGAGTTTTTTCTTTCAATGACGTAACATTATTTTGTTTTTTTTTTTTGCTCACTTATTACGACTAATTACTCATATACCAATAAACGCATTTATCAAATTAGCGAGGCGCCTCGAAACTGCCACACGGAGTGCAGAGAGAAAGTCTTCTCGGTCGAGGGGGCGGCGGGTGGTTTATTAGTAGCACGTGGGTTTCCAACACGTCGTATGGAAAACGTTTGCTTTATTTGTCGGCAACGACCTTACTCCCCTTTCGCATCCCTCTCCTTTACCGACACTTAACCTAAATAAACGTTATAAGTCATCATCTCTTATTGTTTTTGACAGGCATCAAATTGTTATTATATTAAAAACGACTTGTATAACCATAAAAACATTGAATTTTTTACTCAATATAACCGAATGTAATTCTATAGAAGATAATATCAAATAGAATGCACGAGAAACTATTATAAAAAATAAACATTATTTTTATTTATCCATTATTGCTATTGTTAGAATCGATTAAATAGTAAAACGTCTACTTTAACATGATGGTAAGGAATATTACTGAAAATTAATACTCAGTCAAAAAACGTTTCCAACTGTCTTTGCACTGGTCAACAATAATATAGAAGCCAACAGTGACATTTGTACCCTCTAGAGTTAATAAATTTCTCATTGTTAAACATGGGATAATATATATATTTTCTTTTTGTTTTCAAACACATTACTACTACACATAACATGATAGTAATTATGTTATCCAATGTCGAAACAATACGATGAGTAATACAGGTAAACCGTAAGGTACACGGTTAACGACAACACACACAAACAACGAAAAAAGGCATCAAAAGTATCAATGGAACTCGCTAGTGATACGACGTAATTAACTATTCGTAGGTAAAAATAGTCATAACGATTCGTCCGTGACAGGTTGTGCATTCAAAACATGATAATACGTTCCTATTATACTGACAATTGCGTATGCTTTAAAAACTATTAAAAAGGTATTAAACACGAAAATAAGTAGACAAAATAAATTCTTCGGGGTGAAATTTATCGCGATTGGCTTTACATACACAATTGGTTTGTTTAACACCAATAAATAAATACACGTAGCGTTAAAAAATTAAAAATATATGCTTACCATTCGTCTTCCATTTGGTAGTCCAACACCAGACTCACGTGGTCATCAGGTGATAGGTACAATTCTTTTTTGGGCGCCGATCTTCTTGCCATTTCTTTGGCATACAGACCAGGAACGATTTTGTAAACGAGTTTTTCTAAAATCTCGTCTCTCCTACAAAAAAAATCAACAGTTTTGTCGATTATTTCATTTTTTTTCGATAAACACAAAAATATAATAAACTTTGTAACATGCGCATTACCTTAGGCTCAAAAGGGGTTTGGTTTTGTGCACTTGGACGTCGCATATCGGACAGAACCGGTTGGTCTCCAAGTACTTGACGATGCACGAACGGCAAACTGCACAAACATAAAAAATAAATGTTATCGATTTGACATAATAATAAAACTTATTGATGAATTGTAGCAAAGTTAATTATTACAGAAACGACTCTACACAGTATTGTACAGCACACAAACGCCACGTCATATCGGTATTGGTTTCAGCTCATTCGCGGACATTTAATTATCCTTAAAAGGCGCCGTCCTCCTAAACAACTTCTGTACACGTTGATGCATTCTCCTGTCGCAATGCAACAGCCCATACATTCTCTGCCGTTACATTTTTCAATGGTGCAATGTGCACGGAACGAGTTATTATAGACTTTTTTCTGTTTTTATTGCTTATATAATAGTTGTAAAAAATATTATCACGCCAATAGCATCAACGAATCGTGCGGAGTTGCTATCTCTCGGCGGAACAGAGACGCGCTGACATAACAGTTGTATCTTTTCAGCAGTCGGACGCGGAGACGACCTACGAATACGAACGTGTTAAGAAACATCCACAACACACAAATTTCGGTTATACCAATAACAGGGCTTCGTTTTATTTTCATAACCGGATTGCTGAACCCTTTAACCCGAGAGAGGCTATAAAAGTTTAATCCTCCGAATTTCATACTGCCCCCGTCGTGCACAGGACCACCTCCTCTAATACCGTGTCCGTTACACGGTCACTGTAATTATAATTCGACCCTCTCCACTCACCGCAAACTTTTGTTCCGGTCGGTCGGCGACAAAACCCGAACGCCACACAAAAGTATTTTGTTTGTTTTTCCTCGAGTAATGTATGCACCGTCAGACACACTTGTTAATGAGTAATTTTTTATTCCGAAAATCGTTACAACCGTTCGAATACGACTCGTGCACAGCAAAATCACACACATCTGGCCGAGATCGTCGGCGAGAGGCGAAATGCATCGTATCTGTTGGTAAAAAACGGTTCTTACACGTATGTATTCGTTATCGTCACGCGGATCGTGTGACCGCGTACGTTCCGTCACGACCACAAAGCGCACAGAAAACGTTCGTGTGCTCTCGAAAAAATCAAAAACCCATTCGTGTTTTATTGACGCTCCGCAATACATTTTGATAAACGCGCACGATACTATCCCCTCCCGCGAACGCCCCTCGTATGATAAGACCGCAATAAACACAACTGACATTGTGTGTGTGTACGTTCCGAGTATCTGACGAGGAGATTCGAGTTAATGTAAAACGCGTACAAAAGACATTACGGCGGCGGACATAATTACACATGCGCCCAAAACCGATTTGTAATTTTCACACAGTCGTTAAGTGCACTCCATTACACGTCGTCTCAATACTACCACACGTTCACGTAGGCGCGACAATTAGTCGAAATCAAACAGTATTAAATCACACGCGGTAATCTCAGATTATTCGACCAATAACAGATAATTATATTTTGGAGACTCGCCGCTAATTTGTGCGAGTTCGAAAAGATCCGAGTGCATATTTGTTCGGAAAAACACCACATTTCATATTCGAAATATTGTTAAAAAAAAAAATCGTTGCCCATCGCGATAACGAATTTCGATTTAAAACCGTGTACCGCTCTGCGAATTGTCATTAGATTTATTCGTTGGAAAAAAATAATAATAAAAAGTAATCGTTGCATCCATTAGCGGATACTTTTTTCACGTCTTCTTCTAAAATCTTTTTTGTGTTGTCGAGATGAAAGAGAACAACGAAAAATAATTTACCGCAAGTTGAACGATCGCGAATAGGGAAGACCGTAGGCAAATGACCTTGCGCAGCCACTGGGGTATATAGTGTACACTGTATTCTATTCGACAATGATAAATAATTGAACCGGCAGTGACTTCCACGGAGCGTACAGCATCGTCTGTTATTTCATGAATTATCGTTGTTGTCCGATTCTTCCGGCAACGTGTTTTTTTTTAACAACACTTTGCCGGGTCGTTATTTCGTCGCATCGGTACAAACGCGAGCCGAGTACCGAAATTGTTTATCGATTTCGACAAAACGCCAATAAGTGTCAGAGAGCATTTTATTGAAGCTTCAGAGTCAAACATGACGTAATCGGTACAATCGTGTGCCGAATAAATAGCCGTTAACAATTACCGAGCACGCGACAGTCCAATCGCTCTTTTCATACCCGACAAACGTTCGGCCAATAGGCAGATTACCATAAGGGGCATAGGTAATTGTCGAATTTATGAATAAAAAATTAATTTATGCGATACATGAGGATAGCTCGACCGTGAATCCTATCCGTCTGTACGCGCGTTCACACCGGCCGGTAAGTAACTTCGAGTCACGATCGTCTGTAGATGCCCATACATATATTATCATTGTCGCGTCGCATACATTAATTTTTATTCTGTTAGAGAGGAGATAAGCATAATTTCGGTTCTTTTTTACCAGACACAACAGGAAACTACATAATATTTTTCGTCGCCGTCGCGATACGTACACCGGCCGCCACTGTAAAACAGACCGAAAGATAACACCTAATGACGCCGTAGAATAGAAATAAAAGCATATCGAAAGCCAACAAACGCCGCATACGTTAAGTGCGCACAAACAGTATAATAGCAGCGCACGATATTTAAAAACACCATAACGCAGGCACTGCGCATAAGAACTACACACCGAGTGTATGTATAATAGCGCGTCTGTAATACGTCCCATTATTTTAGCTCTAATGCGTCGCTCACGACACACACACACACAATGTCGTGGACGCGTTCGCTTCTAATCGTCGGCAATTAGCGACCGAACTAGCCATGCCGCTACTCGGACGCCGAGTAAGCGTACGATGCTCGGCTCTACCCCTCGAGTGACGCGCACGGGGTGTCCAGACCGGATGCAAACGCGCGTACCGCATACTTGTCTCCCTCCCCAGCCCCACCACCGCCACACAATTATTCGTCCCGTCGCGCTTACACTTGTTAATATTCTATTATATACTTACACGAATGCAAGCACTCGACTATGGTGGAAGGTTCAATGTAATAACCGCCGCACAGGACGCATAGCAAGTGCGGGTTCAGGTCTTTCAACTGCAGTTTCTGCCGTGATTCCTTCATGGTTCCGGCCGCGTGGGAGGCGGCGGCACTCGGATAACTGCTGCGTGTTCCTCTCCTTCTGTAAACAAACGCAAGAGTTAATATTTTTGTCAAACAAAATCGACACGACACGTTCGTCGTGACCCCTTCGCACCGTATTATGGTAATGTCAAGCGGAGAACAGTTTTTTTGTGTGCGGACAAAGTACTCAAAGCACAAAAGACCCAATAAATTTTGCGGTGAGCCTACAAAAACTAGAAAACCCGATAAACGCGACCCCGAGGTACACTTATCCTTTGCACTCGCAACACGACTTAATTATTCGTCTTCATTAAATCCATTTTGGCTGAGCCAATCTACATACTGTACCTACGAACGCGTTCGGATGTGCTGTAGTCGAGCACCCCAATGCTTTTTTAAACCTGCCGGAACAATAAAAACCCCGCGGGGAATCTTAAATTATGGATAATGTCACATGCTTATAATTCAAACGGGCCTGTCCATTTCACATAATATGTAAATTAATAAATCAAACAAAAACGATCACGCTCGTAGAGTGTTCCAAAACATACAAATAAAAATGAATTTAAAATTATAGAAATCTTCTTTGCAAATACTTTAGTCGTCTGAATGATTAATTCGTAATTTTGAGTCGGCATTTTCGGTCGAATATCAATTATTTAATCCCATTTAAATTATCAAATTTTTGTAACTCGAGTTACTTTTTAGTAAAAACCTTTTCGTTTAACAATGACGAAATAATGAAATGTTCATAAATAAACTGAAAAATATTAGTTGGATAAAGTCGCAGATCACAGGGCTACTTGTATTATTATTTTACCTTACTGAAAAGAAAAAAAAAAACAGAAATTGTGTACACACTCGTTACTGTAATTGAAACTAATTCTACACGAGGCAGACTCCTCATTAGGATTCCGGATACAATTAGTCCGCCGCCTCTTCCTTCCGAAGTCGCCAACCCGCTGGGAGAGTCGGCACGGCGTAAACAAAATTATAATTACGCGTACACTGGCAACGAGACTATCCGCAGTGGCCGTTTCAATTATCTTTTAAGACAATGCCCATTTATTTTTGTACGCACCTATAGAACGAGATTCGATGCTTATCGGTTGGGTGCGTCGGTTGGTAATGTACATAAGAGGAGATATGTGTACACGACATTTGTAAATGGCAGTGCACTGCGCTTTTGAGGGACTCGTTAAAAAACTATAAAAACTACCCCGACATCTCGACGTACAGCGAAAGTCTCTTACACGTTGCCCATATAAAACGGGAGCACAATAATATAATAAGGAAACACTATCTATTATACAACCCCGCGCTGCCTTTGGCGTGTCATCAACCGAGTCGAAGAGACGACCGCACTCCGAGTGATGACATAACGACGATATCTGTACGAGCACGGGGAAGTCGCATATAAACTCAACGGTTAGATGATTATTCTTCCCGGAGATTTTTTTTTTAATTTCACTTTGAGCTCGTGTGCACACTTTACACCCGACCGACCCATCTCAGTGTGATATTACACTCGTTATGTACCAGCAGCGCAGTACCGCAGAGGGGCGGCGGCTTTGTAACGTGATCTGTCGATGATACACAACACGACGGTTTTTATTCATCAACACTCAGTTAGGAACTTAAAAAGACGGTGTACTTTAGAAGCTTAGGCGATTCGTGAATCCGACGGCCTAATGACTAAACGTTAGGCTGCGCACGCCTCTCGGGAAAACGAAAATTCATTTACCTCAGCAGAATGGAAACTCGCGACCGTAGAAACTCGACCCTCCGCAGTGTATCGACAGCGAAATTGGATTAACGCCGCCCCGCCGGCGCCTCCGAGGGAGTAAAGAGTTTAAAAGTATTACGTGTATAAACTATATATTATGTATGTGAGTCCGTCCTTTTATTTAATCCCATTAAAGGGGCGAGAGTCGGTATGTGTACCTAAAAATTGCTGCGAGCACATAAATCATCCCACTCCAAATGTCACCACCCAAACCGCTCATTACAAAAAACCGTGACGTCGCCGCCGACACGCCGCAACAGCTTTCTCATATTAATTACAATCATTGTTCATTTGGCATTTCTACTAGAATCGATACCGCGTACACAATAAACTGTAGTGGTCTAATACGACAGTTAGCCTAAGGTATTCAACGATAACGACCCGGTCGTTGAATAGACGTCGCGTTCATTAAAATGTATTACGGCAAAATAGAAACAAAAAATAATGGACTAAACGCAAGAAGTTCTTTAAACCAAACACTATTTGTACAACGTGTACGGACCGTACGATCCCCACCGCCTCCGTGATGAATTTAATTCGGGCAATTGATGTGTATGATAATAGACTCGCTGCAGGACGGCGTCTTGGTCCGTTAAACTTACAAATAGGACCGTAATTACACGTGGTGGTCGTTCGTAGTCATCATTATCATTATTATCTGATATTATTATTGTAACCTCTAGCACGATTCGAATTGGCGGTTTAAACTGCATGTGTTCGAAAGAGATGTGGCGCTCATGTGTAGCAAAAAAAAAAAAATAGTTTTCGGCGAATGACACGGCAAGGGTAAGATGTATATATTTCATAGTTTTTTTCTTAAATTCAACGACCGTTCCGCAATAGTAGTACAGAATGAATGGACTGCACGCAGCGACCAGCAGGTACTATAGAGAGATTACAGACTACCGTTCGCGGCATTATGCACATACACAACACGCACACATACACCGTGACCAACACCCATGACGACGGTGGCGGTCGTTCCCATGGAACCACAATGTTTTTTTTTCTCCTATTTCAATCCTACGTACGGGACATCGACTTAACACTTTAACGTCTCTGACATTATCATCACTGTAGTCAACCGTCGATTTAGCACGTGTTGACATACCTGTGCTGTAAGATCACAACGGCACTTACAAGTGTTTAAAAGTTTATCTACCTTGTGATACAAAAATAAAATAATACGGTTGTTATGCATTTCCAATGTTTACATTTGCCGAACACCTGTTAAAAAAAAACCCACAAACCGTAGCTGTGTTGGTTGAGCGTGTATATAGGGAGGAATGTATATCGAGTAGAGAGATTTTCCGCACAGTCTTACCAACCCCTTGCGGTTTTCCGGCCGGATAACGTAAAAGCTGCCGGCTCGTATTGATCTTCATTCTCCCACAGCCGCGCACTTGCGCAATGCCTACCTTAGGTCTTTATTGTTGATAGACCCGCACCAGTACAATAGAAGAGCAACAAGTGTACACCGCGACATCGATAACCAATAGTGTAATGGATCGATTGAGAGTGTTTGAAGATTTAAATTAAAAAAAGGGTTAAAAAAAAAAATGGAAACGCCAAAGATACTCTTCCGGGTTGTTGGGGTGCGCGTGATAGCAGCCGAAAGTAAAGGGGAGCGATATTGTCAGTCTTTTATAATACCGACAAGTCGGAATTCCGGTCCACAACTGATAACACCCTCGTGCGATAGTAGTACATTGTGCATATTATTCGATAAACATTCATATTACGAGTACAGTCGATAATAAATATTACTACTAGTAAAAACGCAACATAGTAGTAAAATAATATAACCGTATACCTTATCAGGCCAGTTGATGGCGCGGCGGCGGCGGCAGTGCGGAGAGCTGCGGCCGTTAATGTAATGCGTTCAACGGCGGCGGCGTGTCATTGCGACGTTGCCCGGTGAGAGAGGCAGCGGCAGTAGCTGGGAAGTTGGTGGCAACGTTGTTGGAACGGCGGCACTTTCCACACGCGAAAAACTACTACGGACGCCAATGTATAGAAAACGGCTTTGCGCAAGCGCACTAGTAACGCACAACGCAGGCGGCGGCACAGGGCACAGCACAAGAAGAATACAATAATAATACACTACGATGCGATACGAAAATGATCGCGGTGGCGACGGGCGCAACTGACTACGTTCACGTACGAACAGCGGCTCTAGACTCGTGGAGGCGACTCGCACGACCGCTGCCGGCGGCGGCATCGTCGTCCGCCGGTGCTGCGCCGGGTCGCCCTCTCACCCGCTGCCGCTCTTTATTCGTACACTATCGAACCCCTTTCAAATCCGCGCACGGCGGGGAAGGGGGACAAAGCCACGCCTGTACCCAATGGTAAAGCCGGTCGTGACGTCATTGCACGGTGGGGATACACACGGTAGAGTTAGTTGGTTTTATTAGTGCTCTCTCCTTCGAGCGGGCGCGCACAGCGAGTCTTTTTTTTCTATTCAATCCTTTGCTGGTCTGACAGAAAAACAATTTTTCATCTCCTCGCACGGCACCCTCTTCCGAACACGCACAATACTCTTTACCCGACGCAATCGCCCTACTCCTCCATGCGTCCCTGACGGCTCACGTCCCATGCTACCACGGCCACGTAATTTAATGGCGTGGAATGAGGAAAATGAACGCCCGCGTCCAGACGGGACATCAAATATTTCTTTCACCTCTGTGTGTTTTCACTCAATTGTAAATTTATAAATAGATCCGCAGCCCTTTTACACTACATTTTTTTTCGACCGAAACATATTTTTCAAATTAATCAAATACCACTTACTTCACGATGTCAACTATGGAAGTAAAAAGATCATTATTTCGACATTAGAACGAAGCAACAAACTGTAATTTGATAACAACGTATCCGTTTATTTAAGATAATAGTACTGTTTAAATGTGCCGGTCATTATATTTATTCCAATAGCCCGAGAAACGATTCGAAATTAAATTCTATATAAAATAGAACTTATAAATTAAGGCGTTGATAATGTAAAATATTGTAATATCTCAAGAAACTCCACATAATATCTGAAATGTCATCTCGTAATCATTTTCCCCAATGAAAATTTAAGTAATAATAATTTTTGGCATTTGTTTGTTACTCAAACCACTCGTGTAATAATAATGTAAGATAAAAGGTAGAGCATAATAAATTTTGGGACGCACGCCATGAAATTAAACTGATTTCTATTAATATAATCGTGTACATTTAATAGTATAAGCAATTAAAATTTATATATATTTTTATTAAATACTACTAAAATTTGACTTTTTGTAATGTTAATAATAATTTTTATGTTAAGCAAATACGCTTAAAATTTCTATGATTACTTTATTATTTTGGGATTCAAATAAAAAATAAGGCAAATAATAGTAAGGTACAAAAAGTCTAAAATAACCCATTTGGATATTTTATTCTGATGTTTATTATTCAGAATTGTTTATAATAAGTTTTAACGGATTAACATTTTTTTTTGTTATTATATAATATTAAAGTCAGAAAAGTTAACTACAATTTTTCTCTTGCTTAATTAAAGATAGACGAAATACGTTTAAAGTAGTTATGTGTGTTCTTACATATTTTGGGTTAAATTCAATATAAAAATGTTTACTATATAGGAATAATGGATAAGTCAAATGATTATTATCGAACTTATTTTGGAGTTTTAACCAACAAAACAAGACCGCTAATAAGAAGTACAAAAAAACCTAATAAATTTACAGATAAATATGACATTTAATGATGGCCTCCTGCAGCGCCATTGGTACTTTACACTATTTTTAAGTTAATTTTCTTTTTTACTTAATTGAACTCCTCGTGTTAATCATTGAGCCGTATGATATAATGGCAAATATTAAATTTTCACGTTAATAAATACTATTAAATTACGCTTTTTGAAAGACACTAATTAACATTATCTTTCGATCACACGATTGCTTCCGCCAATTTATTTTTATCCGTTGTGACGTTACCATAGTATCTAGTTTAACTTGGGTGTTTCGAAAACTTTTGAAACAGTATTATATTCAGCCGAAATCTAAAAATACCGATTAATAAAAATCCATCGCCGCGCCATCCCAAATATTTAAACTTTGGCAATTTTTCAATTTTAAACAATGATTCTATTAATCATTGATTGAAAATGTCAAAATATGAACAACATATAACTGCATATCCTTCTACTTGACTACATTAACACAATCAAGTTAGTACTTGAAATTGCGAAACGAGAATTGATTAGACTCAATTCAAAAGTACTGCAGGCGACAATTGGTAGTTGATTTTTTTCTGTCAATTGTTAGCACGAAATAACTTTTTAGTTTAACACTTAGACATTTCTTTCGACCCTAATTATTTTTAGTTATTTTTAACTCTTAGACAAACTGGTATTGATAATTTCATTGCACGGCAATGTAAATGTGCGCTGTTCGAATTCATAGCAAGATAGGTCGAACAAAGCTTGAAGCTATTTTTATAATACAATAAACACTGACATTCGATAAACGTTTGGTTCGTATTACCTACGTGTATTTTTCTAGGCTAATATTGGAGTAAATCGTTTTGTAATGATCTGCACGAGCAAGTACCTGTAGAGTTTGTTAGCACGAACATTACCGGCGTTCTAATATCGGACACTAACTATTAAAGGTCAATTTTATAAAAATTACAAGGCTAATTATGAAATTTGCCTGAGAAAACGGTATATTTCGCAAAATTCAACAATTTAAAGCGAATTGATGTGGTGTATTACAAATAACAGTTTTTTCACGTGGTTTGAACATGGTAAGTATGTACCTATTTTAGCTTGCTGTTGAGCAACATGAGCGTCCTTAAAAAGTGTATACATTCACACGTCCACACCTTAACATTATAGTTTACAATGAGCATTGTATGCAATGTTCATGAATATAAATGAAAATTTTATAAAAACAGTATTAGACATGGTTCATACTTTTTTATTGAGTACGTCAATCAAAATCTCGTGTATTTTCATAATGACCGGACCGTTACAAGTGAATATGTCAGGTCAAAAATACAAGATTTACATGACATAATAGGGACATCATAATAAGGGGATCATAATAGGGTTTAGGAAGTATTGGGAGGTATCGTGTCCCATTATTCAAAATCATCTTACGGTTGTTTTATACTTAATTTTAGTAAAAATATTTCCAATTTCAAATCCAACTAGTTAACTTACAAAAGTCAATATGATAATAATTTTATATTAACAATTATAAGATTTTTTACGAACAATTTTTCTACAAAAAGCGACCTATCATATTTGTGTTTGATTGGAAAATAATTTTTCATCGTTTTTGTAACTAAAAATTAAACATTTCATAAATTAAGAACTTGAAACTAATTGAAAAAATCTTAAAATTACGCAATTCATATTTCGATTGTAAATAAAATTGATATTAAAACCGTCCAGAATAGAATTTATTACCAAGTACATCCGTGAACCTATTGATTCTTTTCAAGTATACTTAACTGATAATATTTATTATCGACTCGTGCATATCGTCGGGTTAATGATCTGTTAAGTCTTATTTCTTATCTCACCTATGGGTGGCATGTTAAGTGAAAATACCTTATCCGTGTATTGTTTAAACTGTTCATATATCCATGAGCAAGCATATATTAAAAATATACGACCTGAACTACTCAATAGATAATAAAAATTGTTAATCTTTAAACATAAGCCCTAAAATATATTATGTATGGCCGTTTATAATAATATATTACACTATATTATGGACCTGTCAAGATATTTATCAACAATGTCACTGGGCATAATGTACTTTTTCGATGGTATCGACACAACAGCACCCTCGTGTGTAATATCGTTAAAACCGGCACACCTCGTTTATGTATATACATATTTGATATATCATTATTTGCATCGAAATCCTTTTAAGAGGGTTCACCCCTCCTCGCATGACTGTGTGTATATATATATATGTAGTGTTTTGTGTACGTACCATCGACTTGGCAATATCTAAACCATGAAAAACGTCATGACATAATGTGGGGAATGGACCCTATTTTCATTTTTTGTACACTGCATTGCACCCCTTGCGCAGTCTACTGGGCCCTTAAGCCATATATCCCCGAGGTTAAAGCGAATGCTGTGAATGACAGATAACCATTATCTAATA